GCTTTTTTAGCTTAGCGGGATCGTTGGGTTAGTTTAATTACCTCGATTAGCTTTGTTCATTGTGTGAATCGAAGTATGAATAGATGCCCCGGCTAAGTGAGCTAAGTTAGGTTCGTTCCCGGGTGTGGCCTGCGCTTAAGGCAGATCAGTGTTGGATAAGTACGGGCCGCGGGCCAACTCCGGCCCACGAAGGGCTTGAGTCCGGCCCCCCAATGTCCCTTCTAAAGTACCCACTAGACCCTCGAAAATATATTTTGACAGCCTCATTTGCGCCCACTCATTTGCATTAATTATCAGTCATACACAAAAAAATAACTTTGTTTGATTTAACTTTTATTTATTTAACATAACACAGACAGGTACATTTTAAACCTTAAGTTTGGGCGGTAAGCTCCGTAGACGGCTATTTTTCAATAGATGGAAATCGTTTTAAAAAGTAACATCTAATAATATAAAAACCACTTTCGCAATAGCTACTTAATAATGTCCGCCTATCAAATCATTTGTAAGATGGTTCATTAACCATCAAGAATATTATTTTCATTAAAATCATTGACTTACAAATAAATGGACGACGGGTCTAATACAAAAACCACGAAAAAAATGTCCCAAGTCAACCTATTCGAAATTTAAATTGTAATGTCATCGCAGTATCGCGCTGTCAGTAGAACAAATGAAGACTAAAGCGGAGTGTCGCGCTCTGTATACGATTTTAGCGCCTTACAAGTGCGGACACTTTTTAGCGCGGACCCGACGTCCATATAATTGTAAGTCAATGATTAAAATAATAATATTATTCAGGACATTACCAGAAAATATAATGTTCTGATTTTGAACTAGCCTACACGTGTGTAGTTTAAAATTTGTGACAATAGATAACTTTGCCTAACCGGACAATGTTAGCGCTTTCAAAGACGTGCTCTTCACCATGTACGAAAAAAAACATGTTTTATCATTTTTAAACATTTATTGTAACTTAGCAACATTGAATGTCATATTATTCGAAATTAAACACAATACAACGGTACATTGTAACATAATAAAATAAATCTGTTTTCCAACATATCAATTCAATAAATATTGTTTTTTATTACTATTATTGTTCAACATTTTCGCATAAAGATACGACAAAAACACCGAGAGTAAACTGTAAAAAAGCTATACAAAAACTTAATCTTTATTCTGCAACCGAAAAATCAAAAATCTAACCTGTTATATTTTACCAAATAAATAACATTTAATATTGTGTTTGTGATTTTTTGAGTTTGTGTTGCTATAAAAGATAATCACATTGGTTGATTATTATTACTAAAGTAAAAAAATTAAGAGAATAAAATAATATTAATATTTATTTATTTTGTAACTATAAACAACACGTAAACAGGTTACACGAGTGATAAAAAAGTTCAAGGTTGTACAACACAATTTATATTTAAACTATGTGTTTCCAACCCCTAAACAAAGTAAAAAACCTGTATCTCATATCTTGTGTTGAGTTGAGAAAATGAAAAAAAAAAGTTTGCTATTGTTCATTGACAATTAAATTTATTAAAACTGTATTTAATTGTCAATGGATAATTTCGACTGCTTGGACATATCCAGCTGTCATCAACGGTGCAGAATATAATGGCATAACAAAATCATCAGGGGCCTTACCATGAACTCTTATTACGATTCAGTTTAGAACCTAAAATGAATCGTGAGTCAGCGCTACATGAAGTGTATATCACCATCCCGCTTTTTTGTTGTTACGAACGCATACTGAACTGTAATAAGAGTTCATGGTACGGCCCCAGGCTGTCTTATTTGACTATAGAGCCATACTCATCTCTAACCAGGAACGATTAGGGACTTCATAAGTTATAAAACACATTTATGAATAAGAAGTGGATAATCTAGGTAGAAGTGAAGTATTATAATTATAACTTTTTATGAAAAAAAAACCGACCTCAATAGTTTGTTTATCTGCTCTACGATATAAACGCATATGAAAGTCCTCGTCAAAACGAATCACATGAGCCTAAACCTAAGGTAGCTGCTGTACACTATTGATGGCTTCTATCATTTGTCTGCCATTTCTATCATGAAATCAGCTCTAGGTCACCATAATATTTTATTTTCACTGGAATCACATCTATGTGCCGATTTTTATTGAAATCGGTTACTAGAAAGTAAGTTGAATTCAATAAACTAGATTAAGGGTGGAATATTTTCTTCAAATTCAAATGGGACCACTACTGATATAACCTATTTCCAACAAAACAGAGAATCATCAAAATCTGTTCAGAAATGTCGTAGTAATCACGTAACATGCACACAAAAAACACAGTCGAATTGAGAACCTTCTTTTTTGATGTCGGTTAAAAATATTTTGCATTTTTACAATGCGTAAGGAGGCTAATCCTAGCCAGATTGATGAGGAAAAATAAGGAGGGAAATATGAGACGACTTCCTCCTATAAAAAGGACAGACAAAGATTGAGACACTGTCTCAGATTTCTTGTAAATTGATGTCATTGAACATCATATCACATTTGCACTTGTCGACAAATATTCGAATCAGAATTACTTATAGTAGCTAAAGTATCGATCGTCACGATAATTGTAAGGACCCGTCGCTACTCTATTGGGGTTCAAGTTAATAGTTAACGGCATAAACACGCCACATAGTCCCCATATTTTACTTGGGACTTGCCAACTTATGTCTCAGGGTAACAGGTGCAGTGGCAGTGCCTCTCAGATCTTGGCGATTTAAAGCTCTGAGTGTCACTGCAACTGTTATGGACAGGCATATAGCTTAACATCAGACGTACGACTTGTTCGTCCCGTCACTTGATTTTATGAAAAAAATACGCTATACGACGTTTCGATTAGTCTGAAACGACCGATCGTGAAGACAAATTGTTCCGTATAAAAAAACAGTGGCGTCAATTCGGGCATAAAGCAAAATAAACTTAATTCATTTCTTTATCTTTGGTTATCATATATATATATAAAGAATATTTATATTTACAATGTATAGAACAGATATTATTCACATTTACAATATTCCCTCCTTTTACGATACGCATTATGCTACATATCGATCGACCTCTCAATAAAGGACACAGGATTCTCAAATAAGCGTAGATTACACTAATATTACACAATAATATGGTATGTGACTGTAATTTATTATGCTAGAGGATAATATATCACATAAAAAGGTACATAATATTATGCTACGTTACACACAGCACATATAAGTACTACAACAACTATTTGGATATATTTAATACCCATATAAAAAATCGAGAATGTCAGACATAACTCATTGACAATCTTCAGCGTGCTCTCTCTCTCTCATTACTAATGTATATAAAAGAGAGGGCCGATAAATATTTTCTAACGATAACAAAGTTTGTCTACAAACTATAAAAAAAAGTCAATTCATTCTTCAACTTTAACTAAACAATTCCTAAATAACAAACATTTATTTGAATTAAAACCTAAACACATTCTTTATAGAGGCTGCTTTCTGCAAAAATTAACTAATTAACTATAAACCCTGTCACAGTAGTATGAGTAAATAACTTTCGAAAAGAATATTCGTATAATCTGCAAAAAAAAATTAACATTACGCAAAATGGCGAGGGTTCATAATTAAATGGTTTGTCTTAAATATTAAGCTAAAGTTATGATGATACATTTTCAGATGAACATAAAAGTATACATAGTCAATTCGAAAAAATTCATACATTTATTATTATTTGTTTTTATGCGTACTTTACCTTACTTTAACTATTGTGCCCGCGGACTGGGTGGTTGTTATTATGAAATCATCTGAAACGAAAAAAGGAACAATGTTAATTTATCATTGCAATATTGTGCACTTATATTTTTTGAGTAAAAGCCATCAATATCATCCATTGACTTCAACAGTGTCAAAAGCCAAAAATCACTATTATTGTGAGCTTAGTTTTGGGTGCTTCTCGTTAAAAAATTACGGCAACACTGTGCTCAGTCTGAAGTCACTCAATGTCACTGTGAAATGATGACTGATTTGTAGAGTATTTCGCACCTTTAAATTGAAAGTAAAAAATTAGCAACATGTGTTTTTACTACAAAACGACTTTAAAAATTATTGTTCATTACAGCTCGAATGTTATACTTTCACTTTCCGAGTCTCTTTTATATATTTGAAATGCCATTTCCACGTCGGTATGTAAACAAGGCATTTAGTGTGGAGTCTATTTTTGCAAAGACAACACGCTCACCGTTGATGAAAAAACGACAGTTTAGCAATTGAGCCCTTTTCGTTCCGAAAATCGTCACAAAATTTATACAGATGCAACTCACTTTAATAGTTAGAGGACTTTTTCATAGAATTTAAACGACTTAATCTTGATTACTGCTGGGTAATTTTAGGAAAAAATTCAACTATTGGACATTTTTCCGGAAAAAAATTTGGAAAAATGTAATTTGAATGCTCATATTCTACGTTTAGATATATATTTTGAAGTTTTATTTAGCGTGAATTATAAAACAATACAAAATTGTATAGCTAAAAGCAACTTAAGTGTAAAACGAGATTTAAAATAATTCGACAACAGCGAAATAACAATTATAGGTAAAATAACTTTATAATTATTCCATCTTTTCCGTTCAGTATCTTCAACTTTTGACAGGTGTGGGAAAATGTAAGAAAAATGTTCTGAAAAACATAAATACTTTTCAAAATGGAAATGTTTCTACACTAATTGTGATAAAATCTTGCTTAGCAGATGAAAGTGGAAGGTCAAGAAATTAATTCTTGTTAGGTCTAATTACATTACAACAAAAAAGTTCTGTAAAAAATTGATCGACTAGTGTTTGTAAATTATATTTTGTTATTACGTCTCGAACTACAGGAAAAAATTGTACTGTATAGAGTTTTTTCTTGAAAACGATTGTTAGGAATCCAGGAGAAATAATAAATAACAAACTAACCATAAACCAATCAGCACTATTGTATATCATTTTCTATTCTTTGTGAGGAGGTTCCGACGGGGAAAACCTGGTAAAATACGTTACGTTATTTACGGAATTAATTAAATATTTTAATTCTAATTTATACGTAGTATAACGCGGTATTACCGCTCGAGTGTTGTGACACCAATGCAACACATCGTGTGGCATGGCTCTACGAATGAAAACCTCAGCATTTCTACATAGTTTCTTTTTACAGATTTTTGTAGAATCAAAACTTATAAATCTCTTTAATAATTATTAATACAAACCCCGCCTGACGGACTGACGCCCCATCAGTCAGTGCACTGAGGAAACTATTGGAACTTTGTGAAAAATATGCGGCCACGCATGAATTACGTGTGAAGAAAAGTGAGTTTATGATTTTTAAAGCGGGTGTTAAAACCCCAAAAATGTACCTCCAATAAGGCTAAACGGAGTAGACCTCAAAAGAGTCACTGAATTCAAATACTTAGGGCACATTGTAAACGAGCGTCTTAAAGATGATAGGGACATCGAAAGAGAGCGTAGGGCACTGGTGTTACGGGGCAATATGGTGATCCGCAAGTGTGCTCGCTGTACTAAAGAAGTGAAGATTTTGCTTTTCAAGACATATGTCAGTCGTTTTACACGAGCAGTCTGTGGATCTCATACAACAGGTGTGCCTACAGTGCTCTGCGCGTACAGTATAATTATATTTTCAGGGCGTTGTTGGGGTTGACGCGCTTCTGCAGTGCGTCGGGGATGTTTGCCGAAGCCCGCATTGATGATTTCTTCGCGATTATGCATAAAAAGGCGAACTCCCTGAGATGCAGATTGCGCTGCAGCACCAACAACGTCCTGAAGATTATTGCGGATAGGGGTGAAGGTCCCATCCACAAATATTGGATGGAACTACTCAAAGGGGTTTACATCCATGTCCGGAACTAACAAGTTTCGGAATGATTAAGTTGTGCTCTCCTTTTTGATTTTGATACAAAAATAATTACTTACTTACTAACATAATTTTAATACAAATTGTTACTAATTTACGACTAATATTGCTATGGATGACTTCTGAAATAAATAATATTTTATTTTATATTTTATTTTAATTCAATACAAACTTATAAACCTCTTGCTTAAATATTAAATATTAAAGTAATAGAGTATCTAACGGAGGTATAATTTAACTATGGACCAATAATTTAATAGGACTGCTTATCGCGATGCAAGACAGCGGCGGGTATTTAGTACCTATCGGTACACCAGATGCCGCGACTAGTACCAAAAATAGCTCTTTTTGTAACTAATTTGTTTTACACTGACAAGCTGCAATTTGTCAAAGCTACTCTAATTCCTAGTGACAACATACAAATAAACTAGATGGCGCTTATTGCATAGATTTTCATGGATAATGCCAGCCATACTAATTTTACATTAATTTTGTTTAGGATTAGCGCCATCTACCCATATTAGGAATAAACGACACGCATAATTGTCAAAGTTCAGAAAATAATTTTAGCTCACGAACTCATGATCAACATTTGAATAACATTACAATGAAAAAAGAAACTTATTTCTTAAATTTCATATTAAAGAAAAATTAATTGACTACTTCCAGGTTATTGAACTAGATATAAGACGGAATTTTGACCTTTTTCATGGTTACCTGTAGTATGGAGATTAGCAGTCTATTGAGTTATTGTCTTAAGTCATACACTCTAACCACTACATCAATGTAGTAACGTAGGCAGGCAGTCACCTACGGAACTCAAACCCACGACCACCTAAAGAAGAGCCTAGCATAATCACTACACCATGGAAGAAGTCAACCATGGAAATTGAACCCATGACCTCCAAAACGAGAGCTTAACGCTCTAACCACTATTTGGTGAACTATGTTTTCATTATTTTGCCGCAATGCGTGCCGCCAAAAGACATGTGACCCGCTTTGATACTTTGTATATTTGGGTAAGACTTTTTTGTAAATGGTTTTTTACACTAATTTAAATTACTCAAACATTTCTTTAGGTAAGTATGTTAATAGATTCAACGGATGGTAATTATTTCAATATCACCCTGTAGAAATCATAGACATACGAGGTTTGCACTCTAAGGGCTCATTCAGAATGAAGGCGCGGTCGCGGCGGCGGGTGCGGGCACGTGGGTCTTGGCGTCTTCCGTATTGCTGAAGCGACTACGAGCGGATAGATCCACACGTCGAAATCGCAAACAGACGCTAGACCAAGCACTGTGAAAGGTACGGGCGGACCGAGTCAATAGATCTGAACGCAACGAGCGTCTACGTACGTACCTACTAAGCGTTAAATGTAGCGACCATTTTTCCAAAGTCTTGAATCTCCTCTGGCATAGACGGTGATAATCCTATATATCACTGATCAACTAAGCACTATTGTGTCAATTTTTTTAGAATACCAAGTGACAGCGATACACCTGTCCGTAAGTTGCTTACATCTTTAAATCGCAAAGATACGAGGGGTGCTGCCACTGCGCCAGTCACTCCAAGACAATTATGTTGACATGTGCCTGTAATTTCATCAGCACTTTATCCTACAAAACCGTAACGCAGTAATGGTTACATTACGGCTTGGCAGCAGAAACAGGCAAAGTGGCAGTAAGTACTGCCAGGGAAGTCCTCTGGAAGAACTCTTTCACAAGGAGCTCTACAGCTACTGAATGTGCATTGTACTAACCGTTTATCGGGGTCAGTAAGTATGGCGGCGAGCTCGGCAATACGGTCACGATGCTCCCGCATATATGCTTGAGCCTCCCACAGCATAACGACGAGCCGCTCGTCGATCCGCTCGTCCATCGCAACGTCACGGGACATGCGCGGCGCGAAACGGTAGTAAGGTACGCCGAGCTGACTGCACCATGCGCGAGCGCGCTCGACTATACGCCCATCTGATTGGGTAGCCTGAAAATAAATAATAATAATAATTCATTAAGCAAAGCCTAATAAATTAGCTAATAAAAACTAAACAATGTGCAATAAGATAAGGCTTTAGATTAATTCTAGATTAATTGACCACTGACTTCCAATACTAGAAAAAAAAAGTTATTCATTTAATAGTGTAATGCACAGGGAAAACGCAAAAATACAATTCAAAAAAAGAAATTACAAATAAAAGGTACTGCTTATTTCTAAAATACAGGGCACTATAAGTAAAAGAATGGGCTTACGTGCACAACAAAACAAAAATAATGTAATACAAAAACAATCTAATCAAATGTTCCCTGTACAATTATAATATGTAGTTACAGGAAAACGGTTCTAAAAAAGACTATCCATGAATTTTGAAGACATTTTGATTGCCATTCTCAGATTTGGAAAAAACGGTACAATCAGCAATTTTATGCCATTCGATCCGGTCTCTGGTAATGATCTATAGTCTCTATGGGACCAACTGAGGTATGATTACTCGAAATGTCAGAAATCGCAAAAACTTTTTACCATACATTTTAAATGAAAACTTTTTGTTAGAAAAGAAACTGGCCACTACTCTTCAAAGAAGAATTAAGCAAAACCAAATTATAATCATATCATATTTTTTTTAATTTGGAACTGTTTTGTTTTGTTAATAAAGAATTGTCACTTCTAATAGGATTTTTAATCAAAATGTTCTCAAATGTGGAAATAAATTAATTGGAATACATGGTCTTAGAAATGGCCATAATTCGGTACAAGTCTTTCATATAAATTATAGTTTGTTTCATGTCGTTCATCTTATTTTTAAGACATTCTATGATAAAAGCACTTTTGACGCATGGCCACGTGAGGCTTTATATTATACCAAAGGTAAGAAAAAAGTTCTAATAATATAAACAAACTACACACCTGATCGACCAAAAGGCTTCCAATAGCAGTGAGTCCCATCGCCAGCCTGGCTGTGTCCCACAAACTCTCTGGCTTGAAGACGTCGATGTCTTTTAATTTCGTCACTGGGATCAACCCTGATAATAATAATTGAATTTTGGAATCCAGTCAATGAATATATAGCATTTGAAACCGGGAATAAACGCGTTTAAACACTAAGGGCACAAATTCGCAACGATAGACGTTAGCGTGTATATTGCGTGCTAACGTGTGTCATGTCGACTCATCCGTAGAACAAAGGCCTATGTGCAAGACTGTTTATTCACAGAACATTCTACATTTCGTTCGTTGTTCTTCGCTGTGGATATCAGATCGACCGGTGTTCGATTTTATATGTCCGAAACGAAATAATATATAAAAATTATGAAAACACCAATAGATAGGCCTTATTTTAAATAACGAGATTATGTACTTATCATATTTTCGTTGTATAATCACATCAGGGGGTCTACTCTCGATCTCCGTCCGAAACAATTACTGTCAAACATTGACTTACAATTATATGGACGTCGGGTCCGCGCTAAAAAGTGTCCGAACTTATAGGGCGTTA